GCGGGGATAATAATCAATGTAATGAAACAAGCTATATGAATATATATGAATGTGAAGCTGATGATGTGCCCTGTAAACTTTCACTCAATGCAAAATAAAAACATTTAATTAAAAAAAAAAAAGAAAATCTAATCTAATCTCTTAACGAGAGCAAAGTGGTGGTCAGAGCATGATATAACTGAGACAGGGTCATGATTTATTAACTACAAGTAGCAGTTGAAGTTAGGTGTAATAAAATGTATTCTAACTCATAAAGACCTCGTGTGAAATAGCAGAAATTCCCTATAAGGTTTCCTAGGCAGTAATCTTTACAACAACAACAACAATAATCTCTACAGGAGGAGCTCTGGTAATGTAATGGATTACTAATCAAGCTGTTGATTGCAAGGTCAGCCATTCAAATCTACTCGCCACTCCGTAAAGATTTACAGCCTCAGAAACCCTATATAGGGTCACTATGAGTCGGAACTGATTCTACAGCATATAACCACCACCACTAAATCTCTACAGGAGCAGACTGTCTTCCACCTAAAAAGTTACTGTTGTTGTTGTTGTTATGTGCCGTCGAGTCGGTTCCGACCCATAGCGACCCTGTACAGGGTTTCCGAGGGTGTAAATCTTTACGGGAGTAGAAAGCCTCATCTAGATGGGTTCAAACCACCAACTTTTTGGTCAGGAGAAAAATACTTAGCCAGTATACCACTAGGGCTCTTCTAGCTCTATTTGAAAGAGAAATTTTGAATCACAGTCTTAGGTTCAAGTGAATATACTGAGAAGAAAGTCTGCACGAGTTTCAACTCATCACATGCCTTGCTGATGCTAATTTATGAAAGTCATTGTCCTAGCTTTGGAGCAGAGGGAAAAAATCTGAATGCAGTAGTGTGGTGCAGTAAATTATTTAATGTTTCTTCTAGGCTTTGTAAACTCCCACCAAATGACTATTTGCCTATTGGATCTAGGTAAGAAAGGTGGGATATGATGCTTATTAACCTCATCTGATTCAGTTGTGAATGACTGCTAACAGGTTTTATTGTGATTGAAAAAACTTGGAACAATAATGTGGGTATAAAACGAGCCATCTCAGAAGCAGAAGGGTGATCTCACCACCAACAAGAAAAACAAGCCAGAAGTGGAGCTTGTCCTTTAGACTATAAGATCACTGAGTACTGACCTTCCTTAGCCCAGGGATACCTGACAACTGAGGAGAAAAAGGAGTGGGAGAGGAGCAGCAGAGAGAACCGTGGGGTTCCCAGTACATGAAGTAAGTAAACTGTGTCTTTGGGCAGGAGACTGTTGTAGTGGGGCTGCTTCTAGGTACTTAGTATGTTTGCTGACTATTAGAACTAGAGATGAGAGCCTTTACTCTGAGGTTTACAGCAAATGCCCAAAGGGCATTTATCCACAGTGCTGAAAGAGCTTTGTAACATTGCTGGAGGAAGGCAGGGACCAATGGCTGAGAAGTGAAGGATCAGAGAGAAGCCTGTCTGCAGGCTTGGCAAGGAAGATGTCCTGAATGGAAGAACTATGCTCTGTTAACTTCCCTAATCCACCATTCCCTTGTCAGTTTGTATTATTGTGCTGACTTGTGTGTTACTGTGATGCTGAAAGCTATGCCAGTGGTATTCTAAATACCAGTAGAATCATCCATGGAAGACAGGTTTCAGCAACACGTCTGGATTAAGACAATGAAGGCAGAAGGAAAGGCAGGCCACTTCTAAAAGGTTAGACACTGACAACTTTATGAATATAAGCAGAGCATGGTATGATATAGTGCCAGAAGATGAGCCCCTTGGAAGACACTAAAAATATGACTGGCAAGACCGCATTCTTGTAACAGTTGACCTTCATGAGACTGAAGGTCTCCATGTACTGGGAACCCCACGGTTCTCTCTGCTGCTCCTCTCCCACTCCTTTTTCTCCTCAGTTGTAAATATCCATTGATGACTGGAACAAGAAAAGTACAAACCATGAATCTAGAAAAGTTGAAAGTTGTTAAAAATGAAATGGAACAAAGATCAGTATTCTAGGCATTAATGAACTGAAATGAATAGGTATTGGCTATTTTAAATCAGACAATCATACGGTTTACTATGGCATAAGTGACAAATTGAAAGTGAATAGCATTTCATTCATCATCAAAAAGGTCATTTAAAGATCTATCTTGAAGTACAATACTGTCAGTGATAAGATAATATCCATTTGACAACTAGAAATACCAGGTAATATCACTATTATTCAAACTAATGCATCAACCACAAAAACCAATGATTATGAAACTAAAGAACTCTATCAACTACTTTATCTGAAATTGACCAAACATGCAAATCAAGATGCATTGATAATTACTGGTGATTGAAATGCAAAAGTTGGAAACAAAGATGAAAGATCAGTAGTTGGAAATCCAGGTCTTGGTGATAGAAGCAATGCTGTGATTACATGACAAAATTTGCAAGACCAATGACTTATTGATTGCAAATACCTTTTTCAACAACATAAAAGGCAACTATACACAACAATGAGATATCATCTCACACCAGCAATAACAGCAAAGATCAAAAAAGTAGAAGACAATAAACGCTGGAGGGATGTGGAGAGACTGGGATGGCTCCTGCATTGCTGGTGGGATTGCAAAATGGTCCAACCTCTCAGAAAAGCAATATGGTGCTTTCTCAGAAGATTGGAAATAGAAATACCTTATGATCCAGAAATTCCTCTACTTGGTATTTACCCACAAGAAATACGAGCTATAACACGAGTAGATATATGCACACCAATGTTCATAGAAGCACAATTTACAACAGCCAAAAGATGAAGACAGCCTAAGTGCCCATCTATTGAAGAATGGATAAACAAACTGTGGTACATACACACAATGGAATATTATGCTACCTTGAAAAACAACAAGGAAGCTGTAAGCTATCTCGTAACATTGATGAACCTTGAGGATATTATGTTGAGTAGAATTAGTCACAAAAGGAGAAATACTGCATAGGACCACTACTGTAAAAGACTAAGAAAAAGAACCCATACTAACGGGGTGGGGGTGGGGGGTTGCTTTGGATGCTTTGCTGGTTACCAGAATGTAGGGAGTAGGGTGAGGGGAGGGAGAGGAAGGTGGAACACAGGGTAGGGAAAATAGACACAGGAAAGTTTGGGTACTATGGAGGGGTGTAATACATAAGAAGGGGGAGGGGAATGGAAGAACAAGGCAGATGGGAAAACAATTAGGCAGGTTTGCATGGGCTAAGTGGGACAGAGACAGAGGTAAAGAATGATGTATGCACAACCTTGGAACAACAGGGCTTTGGGATTCAGGGATTAAGACATGGTTGGAATGGGCAAAAGGGGGAAATAATGTTAAGATGCTTGACTGTCTTTTGAATCTTAGTTTTCCTGGCATACCATTATAAAATAGACACTTGAGGGGGACAGACAGGAATAGCCAGAAATACCACCATAGAAAGCTTGTAAGTCTGTCTTCTGCCTATAACTGATTGTAGTACCTAAAATGGGGCTGGCTACAACGTGCCCTGTGAAGGAGGCCTTCTGCGGAGCCTCTGCATTACATAAGACCATAGATGGAATCCTGAATTCCATCCAGAATATTCTGAGGTGGGAATTTTCCACTTGAAAGGACAAGCAGACCAGCCTGGAGTGGCTAGAACAGAAGATACTTCTTGAAAGAAAGACCAACAAGAAAAATACAAAACAATATAGGCAAACTGACTGACTACTACAAGAACAAGCAAGCTGCTCACCCAGGAGATATCAAGGCAAGTGGTTGGGTCCTCTCAGGGTAAACCCTTTTCCAAAACTGAGACTAGACTCAGTGGGAATACACGAGCAGACACGTGCTCTGACTGATGACCACATTGGTCACCAATAAGGGGAAGTGAGGCAAAAACAGCAATGAAGCTGTGAGCTAAGTCCAACCATGTTCAGCACATTCCTGTGAATCTGGGTGGAGAACTAGTTGGCCAGCAGTTTGGAAAGACCTGAGGACTCCTGGGCCCAGAGTCAGTGACATAGCCACAGAGGACTAGAGTGGAGAATGAAGAGTAGAGATGATAAGAAAAGAGGGCATATGAGTAAGAACACCCACATTTGCAGGTAATACCCACTTGACCTGGCTTCAAGGCTGGATGATCAGAGCTCAACTAGAAGAAGGAAGAAGAAGAAAAAAAGAGTAATCTGATTCAATTTGATGAACTTGACCTTCAGCTATGGATGCAGTAGCTCAAAAGAGGGAACAAATCTTTACAGTGAGGATCATTTCCACCCCTCAATACACACGGTAGACAGGGATGGGTAACTTGGACACCAACTACCCAAAATAGGGGAGTGACTGGCTTACAAGCTTTCAAGAGGGAGCCTAGATCCAGAAGGCACACAGGAAGGTATAATCTCCACTGAGTAGTATCCCATCTGTCTAGATGGGACTTATGAAAGGAGATGTGGATAGCACTCATGTGGTACAATAGTGAATAATGACTATCAGGACTGACAGTGAGGGTTTGAAATGTAAAGGTAGATGTTTTGTAGCAAAAGGAGGGGAGTGGTTGACTTTTGCAGTTCAGGAGCAGAGGCCCCTGGGACCATCTAGAGAGAAGAGCAGAGTGCAGGATTCTATCCAGAGAAATAGTGATGCCAGAGATGGAGGTAGAGACAATGATGTGGAGAGATGAAGCAGCTGGGAACTCTAGACCCAGAGAAGGAAAGGGGCTGTGTGCCGACCACGAAGGGGAAGGCTTGTGGGATGTATCATTTGGTTGATTGATGATTCATGGAGGGGATTGTAACCATGGCAATGTAACAATATACAATAGGATGAATGTAAAGCTAAAGTTCTCCCATTTAAACTATCACATAATTCACAATAAAACATTAAAAAAAAATTAAAGGCAACTATACACATGGGCCTCACTAGATTGAATACATAAAAATTAAATTGAGTATATCTGTGGGAAGAGTCAGGGGAGATACTAAAATAAGACCAGAGGCTAAATGTGGAGCATATTACAAATTACTCAAAAGCAAGCTCATCGTCAAAACTGAAGAAAATTTTAAAAAGTACACAAAAGCCAAAATATATCCTTGAGTATAACCCACCTGAATTTAGAGACCATCTCAGTAACAGATTTGATTCAGTTATGACATTAAGACCAGTAGATTTGTAGGATTACATCAAAAGAATCACATAGGAAGAAAGTAAAAGTTCATTAAAAAAAAAAAAAAAAAAAAACAGAAGGAAAGAAAAGATCAAAATGGATGGCAGAAGAGACTTTGAAATTTGCTCTTCAGTGTAGAGAAGTTAAAGCTACTGGAAATAATGATGAAGTAAAAGAGCTGAACAGATTAATTTAAAAGGTAGAGTGAAAAGCAAAAATCAAGTGAAAATGAAATGTGCAAAAGACCTGGAGTTAGAAAACCAAAAGGGGAGACCACACTCAGCATTTCTGAAGCTGAAAGACTTGAAAAAGTTCAAGCTTCAACTTAGAATATTTAAGTGTTCAAAATCCACCACTGGTCTGTCAGATTGCCATACAGTGGTGGCTTCCACGTTGCTGTGATTCTGGAAGCTATAGTACCAGTATTTTATATATCAGCAAGGTCACCCGTTGTGAACAGTTTTCAGATGAGTTTCCTGAAGAAGACAAACTAAGAAGAAGAGATAGACTACTTCTGAACATTTCGTCACTGAAAAGCTTATGAATAGCAGTGGAACACCGTCAGCAACTGAATATTTAATATTGAAATATGATGAAGAGCACCAGAATGTTGTCAGATATAGGGCTAGAATTGAGCCCCTCAGGTTGGAAGACACTCAAAATGTAACTGGGAAGAGCTGACTCCTCAAAGAAGATTTGACCGTGATGACACAAATGGAGTAAAGCCTTCGGGACCTTCATTTGCTGATGGTGCACAGCTCAAAATGAAGGGAAACAGTTGTAAACATCCATTAATAATCAAAACATGGAATGTATGAAATATGACTCTAGGAAAATTAGAAATTGTCAAAAATGAAAAGGAATGAATAAACATTGATATCCTAGGCATTAATGAGCTAAAATGGACTGGAATTGGCCACCTTGAATCTGACAATCACATGGTTTATTATGCCAGGAATGACTAATTAAAGAGGAATGGTTTCACACTCATCATCAAAAAGAACATATCAAGATCTATCTTGAAGTGCAATGCTTTCTGTGGTAGGATAGTATCAGTATACTACAAGAAAGATGAGTTAATACCACTGTTATTCAAATTTATGTACCAGCCACTAAAGTGAGTGATGATGAAATTGAAGAATTTTACCAGCTTCTTCTGAATTTAGAGATCATCTGAGAAACAGACTTGCTGCATCAGACATTGAAGACCAAAGACCAAAGACCAGAAGAGTTGTGGGATGACATCAAGGATACCATACAAGAAGAAAGTAAAAGGTCAATAAGAAGACAAGAAAAAAGAAAAAGACCAAATTGGATATCAGAAGAGACTCTCAAACATGCTCTCCACTGAAGAGATACAAACACAAATGGAAGAAATGCGGAGGTAAAAAAGCTGAATAGAAAAATTCAAAGGTCAGCTGAATAACAAAGTTAAATATTATGCTGAAATGTGCAGAGACCTAGAGGTAGAAAACCAAAAGGGAAGAACACGCTCAACATTTCTCAAGCTGAAAGAACTGAAGAAAAAACTCAAGCCTTGACTTGAAATATTGAAGGGTTCTATGAGCAAAATACTGAATGATGCAGAAAGCATCAAAATTAGGTGAAGGAATACCCAGTTACTGTACCAAAAAGAAATGGTTGATGTTCAACAATTTTAAGAAGCAGCATAAGCTCAAGAGCCAATAATACTGAAGGAGGAAGTCAAAGATGCAATAAAAGCATGGCTAAAGAATAAAGCTTCATGACCTAGTTATAATGGATGGATGATCAGAATTCAACCAGAGAAAAAAGATCTAATCCAC